AAAAAGAGGAAAGAGAAAAGGGGAGAGAGAGAGAAAAAAGAGAGAGAAGATGTAAGAGAAAAAGGTGGAGAGAGAGAAAGGGGGAGAGACACAGAGAGAGAGAAAAAAGGGAGAGAGAGAGAAAAAGGAGAAGAGATAGAGAAAAAGGAGGAGAGAGGGAGAGAGAGGATGTAAAAGAAAAAGGAGGAGAGAGAGCGAAAGGTAGAAAGACACACACAGTGAAAGAAAGAGAGAGAGTGAGAGGAAGGGAGGAGTCGCCGATGGCAGAGGAACAGAAAAGCCAGTAGGAGCAGAGAAAGAGAGGAAGAGCGCGTCCAGCCCAAATCGTGTCGGGGTAATCTCAGGAGCGTCAGATGGTTTTGACAGAGCGCAGGAAATTAAGCCCAGATTAAGAGGAGGGGCCACGGACTGCTCACTCACCATGGACCCTTTTGTCCCTCTCTGCACCCGGTACGGCTGAAAGAAAACCTAAACTCAACTCAAATTACAATATTTGGCAACACTGGCAATAATTAGAACCAAAAATATGCAATTTGTAACTTGTAATATCTTAACGAAATCATCTTAAAGTTCCTGTGTCTATATGGGGTCTTATTTTGACGTCTAAACCTTGAAAAACATGTTCTGAAATGAATGAGATTCTTGTCTTATCTTAGCAGTGTGAATTTTGAACTGAAATTTGACTATTAAAATCTAAATTTGCATTACAAACTTAAATTGTGATTAAAATTTTGATGCAAATAGCATTATAACAACTTTGGTTTAGACTTATACAAACCTGTTATGAAATACACTGGATTCTTGTATTATCCTAGTCCGTATTTTGAACTGAAATTTAACTATTAAAATAAAAATTTGCATTACAAACTTAAATTCTGATTCAAATTTTGACGCAAATCGCATTATAATGACTTACCTATAGTTTAGACTCATACAAAGCTGTTCTGAAATGCCTGGGATTCTTGTATTATCTTAGAAGTGCGTATTTTAAGCTAAAATTTAACTATTAAAATCTAAATTTGCGTTACAAACTGAAATTGTGATTCAAAATTTGACGCAAATCGCATTATAATGACTTATCTATAGTTTAGACTTAACTGTTATGAAATGCATGGGTTTCTTGTTTTATCTTAGTGCGTATTTTGAGCTAAAATTGAACAATTAAATCAAAATTTGCGTTACAAACTTAAATTGTGATTCAAATTTTTATGCAAATAACATAACATTTGACTGGTTGCAAATCGCCTGCAACTATTTACTGTAGTTTAGACTTGTACAAACATGTTCTAAAATGTGTGGTATTCTTCTATTTGTTTATTATCAGTTCATTTTTTAGTCTTGAGACAGAACAGAATTCTACTTTTTAACCAGATATCGCAAATTTAATCGCGATAGTCAGAAAAATAACACAAAATTCTTTATCCATAGTTGGAATCCTGTTTGGCAAATTGATTCCAAATTGCAATATTTATCAGAAAATAATCAATATTCTTCAAAAGCGTTCAGCCCTGTCTTGTGGTGGATACATCGCGTCGCCGTGTCCACTCTCCTCTGTCCCCCTTAACTCCCGCGCGACCTCCAACCTCCAAATCGGCGCTTAAAGCTGGCTAGACGTCCACACAACAGGGATTAAATCTGTGCCCATCACCGAAGCTTTACCGGGGCGTCCTGCAGAGAGAGGGGGAGAGGAGAGAGAGACAGAGAGAGACAGAGAAAGAGAGGATAGAGAGAGAGGAGGAGGAGGAGGAGGAGATAGGAGCGAGCATTTTGGTGTTTTGTGCGCCGGTGTACATATAGTCCTTCTAACAATGGACGAAGAGGATCTAAACAAAAGTGGAGGAGATTCGAGTCTACAGGATGCTACGGTAACGTGATGGGAGTTTGGGTGGGCGATATCGGCTAATTTATTTATATTTTGTGGAGTTTTTTTATTTACTGATGTCAAAATTCACATCCTATTTTATTGAAACTTGCTATAACATATTTGTAATGTCTTCGTTGCGGTTCGAGTATCCTACAAAATAGAAATTGGACAGTGAAATGATCAGTTTATGACCTAATTTGCAAGATTACATTTTAAATTAATCTCTTTTTGACAGGGCTTTGCAATTAAAAGAAACAGAAAACGCACATACCAAAATTCTTGTAGAGGTGCAAATGCAAGGAGCAGCAAGACAAAAGTGAAAAAATGCATAGCGCACTCAGATGGCCGATGTCCAAAAGCTTTTTTAATTTTAAAATAACGTTTTGGCAGCAAAAGCCTTCTTCAGATATTTTTCTTGCTTTGGTGTGCTGTGGTCCAAAGCAAGAAAAATTGCTTACGAAGGCTTTTGTGGCCAAAATGTTATTTTAAAAATTAAAAAACTTTTGGACATCGGCCATCTGAGAGAGCTTTGCAATTACTCAAATCTGAAAACCTGAATCTGAATTTGTCAATGATCAGAATGCAGTTTGGAGTAAAGTTCAGACTTAAAAGGAAGAAATTGAACTAGATATGTTTGTGTTACTTTGATCCTATTTGTACGCAATGAAATTCAAAACCATTTTTTATTATATATATGAAATTTTAAATGAAAGAAAGCTGTTTGTATGTATTTATTTTGTGCGCTCACTTTTGCGTATCCTGAAAACCACACTTTGTATCTTCTGTAGTAGTGTCCAGTGCATAGAGCCATGTGACACTGAGGTGTAGACTGTGACTGTGCATTCATTTACCAAAACAATGTGATACTATGAGCTTCAGCGTGGTATTGTTGAGTCTGGAGGAACTATCACTAAGTAGACTTCTGTATGTGTGCTTGTATGTGTCTCTATCGGCTGGTTTCAGATTGTACAACGCTATAGTGTGATTCCTGGATCTTCTAAATGGCGTTTTCATAAGATCTAAGAAGATATCTCACGGGAAAATCCACAAATGTTGATCCTGATAATTGATTTTAGTGACAAGACTTTATATTGACCTCTCATCAGCAAATTAGAAGTTGTAATTTTGAGTATAGAAAACTGAAGACTTGTTATAATGTCATAATTAGGGATGTAATGATATCCAAGTCTCACAATATGATATTATCATGGTATGAAGCTCATGATATGGTGGGAAGTAGAGGTGTGCAAAAGTATCAAAATATCAGTATATTGTATTGTTTAATTTGATGATACAGTTTCGATATCGTGGGCTGCTGTATCGATACATCACCAAGAGTATTTTTTGGTATATTTTACTAAATTATTTTGTTACAGATCTACAGTTTTGTTCCTTGTTTAGTGGAAGGAAACTCATTTATGTGACACATTTGACATTTCCACTGTTTTGATGATTTAAATGTTTGTGTTTCTTTTTCACTTTGCACAAGAAGTGGTTTAACAAAGACTTTTAGTATCACAGCCATGATTTAGCTATTATTTTTTACTGAACCGTATCGAATCAATTTGAAATATATCTTATCGAATCAAAAGTGCGCTGAGATATGTATCGTATGGCCAATGTATTGAGGTATGTATCGTATCGGCAACTGCTGAATGATACCTGGCCCTAGTGGGGAGGCACACGATTAGGGATGTAACAATATTCAAAACTCTCAGTACGATATTTTCACGATAAAAGTGCTTAGAACTGTTATTTCTTCTTGTAGTCTGCACTGAAATGGAGCAAAGGATCATGGTCTATGTAGTTCCCTTTGTTTTGTTTTTTTAGCTATTGGTGCACCATAACTATAAGAACTGTAATAATTTAAGCAAAGAGTAATTCGATATATTGTGAGGGTCCACGATATTATTGTGAGAACTTTGACGATACGATATCACAATATTTTAGTTATTGTTACATCCCTAATCCTAATGGCTTCTGAAAACCCTTAAGTATTGAGTTTATTCAAAGATGCATTATGTAACTTTGTCGCCTGGTTGTCTCCATGAAGATGTGACTCCTTTGTCCGGGATTTTTCAAAGTATAATATCAAACTGATCTTGCGTTCATTCAACTGCATATGTGTCCATGGAAACAACCAAATGGCAACCCCTCCACCAGAAAAGTTACACAATGTACCTTTTAAAGCCACGGAAGATCCCTAAGCATCCCCAAGGTCTGTTACCATCTGCCCCTCTTCAAAACCACTTGACCTCTAAAGATCTTTAGGACTGACATAACCAGGCAGTGAACCGTCCACCAGAAAAGTTACATGGTGTTCCTTTAAAGCTAACATTTCAGATTCTTCAGTTAAATAAGTTCTAAGGAGGATCCGTAAGCATTCCTGAGGTCTGCCGCCATCTGCCCCTCCTTGACTCGGCTCCTAATTAACTTTAAGTCAGACTCAGTTTTTAACCTTGGAGCAATGGCCCCAGATCTGTGTCTAATCCCAGGTTTTACATAATCTAAAGAGCAGAGGATGGTGTAACTGACCCCAGATCAGCCAAAGAGAGCAGCCGACAGGAGCAGAAGGCACCGGGATTAAAACTTGGCGCTCATGTCTGCTACAGGGGGACACAGTTCTGTTCAAATTACTCAGTTAGGAAATCACAAAGTACCATAAATTCCTCTCCAAACAGCAAAATATCATGTTTTTTTCTGCATAAAAAACTTCTAACTCCCTGATTTAGAATTGTAAAAGATTTTCCAAAATGTGATTCCTGTATTAGTTTGTTAGTTGTGTTAGTTTGTTTATATTTCTGTCTTTTTGTAATTTATTCTTTATGCTTGCAAAATGTTAACTTTGATCAGAATCCCATTATTAAAACGTAAATTGCAAATCTAATACATGTTGTCAGATATTTTCCCCAAATGCGGTGCCTTGTTAATGTGCAAAATGCAGTTTCTGTGGTTGTTGAAGTCCTGTGATAGAATAAAGTTGCAGTAGTGTTGTTACTGCAACAGTGTGCTTTGGTTTGATGGGTTTGATGAGCACCTGGAGGAAAGACTGGACGATTATAGATGTGCAGTGTGTAAAAACTCTTCTCTTTTGTGTATGGAGTTTTAATCATGTCTCTGTGTCTGTGTGTTTTAGGTTTGCCATCACCCAGACTGTCAGGAGCTGAACCAGCAGAGTCCCCTTCACCTGTGTGAGTCATGTGACTCACGTCGCCACGACGACAGCTCCGACATGCACTTTGACCGGCACCCACGCTTTGACCTGCACCCTCAAGGTACACAGGGTCCAGGAAATACTTTGTAAAATAATTTACTTGGGCCCAGTAAAGGCCTCCTATGTTGCTTTTACCCTCTTTTCATTGTTTATAGTTCCTAGTACTTCATGAACATGATAACACGTAGGATGGTGCTGGATTGTTGCTTATTTGATCATTTCAAGTTAGGGGTGGGTGATATGCCAAAAATTTATATTATGAATTTCCTAGAGCTCAAGAACAAGATTTCACCACGATTCATGTTCTTAGCTTCATTTACCTCTTAAAGACTGAATAAATGATGGCACTGTCGCTCTCTCACACCATGATGGAGTCTGGCCCATGGGAGGAGTGGGTGGTGGAAATTTTGTCTCAGGGATGAGATCACAATAAAATGTTTATTCCCATAGCACCCACCTCTATTTCAAATGAAACTCTGTTCAAAATGATCAGTCCATTACGTGTTGTCTGTGCCTCAGCCTCGATCCTGGCTCGGAACGTGTCGACGCGCTCCTGCCCCTCGCGCACCAGCGCCCCCTCTGACCTGGAGGAGGAGGATGAGGTGGGCGAGTGCGGGTGAGTCCTGTTATGTCACTCCATTAACTGAAAGCTTTCATTTTAGCACCAAAGCCTGTCTGGACTTGTAGAACAGTGTCATCTATTTTCACTCCTGATAATAACTGAACATGAGATTCTGCGTGACGTCACAGCAGATAAGACTTTTGTACACTCAAGACTTTGTGTTTGTGTTTCACTGTTTTTACAGCGAGCGCAAATCTGGAGGGATGAAACTGGTCAAAAAGAAGCCAAGAAGACGACACACAGATGTAAGTATGAAAACACAGGCAGTAGTGAGGTACATCCACAATGTAACTATTGAAATAGATCACATATATACACATATATATTCTGCCATACCACCTTGAGAATCCCCAAATATCTGACCTCTGAAGCTAAGCAAGGTCAGGATAAGTTAGTACTTAGATGGGAGACCTCTGGAAATACCAGGTGCCACAGTGAGACAGTAGTGACTCTCGTGCAACCTGTTGCTGTGTCCTTAGGCAGGACACCCACCTTTCTGGATTATGGCCAAATCTAAAGTCTAAAGTGTTTAGATTCTAAACTCTAAATGCCTAATAGTGAGGTAACAGGAGGTACATACTGCTGTTGTGTCCTCAGGCAAGACACTTCACCTACATACTAGTATGAATGTGGTGAGTGTTGGTGGTGGTCAGAGGAGCTATAAGTGCAGATTGGCAGCCACACTTTCATCAGTGTACCCCAGGGCAGCTGTGGCTGTAGCTTATGAAGCTGTGAATGAATCATCTAAACATCTTTGAATCAAATATATGAAACAAATGAATAACATGTGCAGCTGCTCACTTCTTCTGGTAAAAACTCCTCCAGGTTTTCTAACGTACAGTAAATGTAACACAATCTATGTCTCAATGATGGATGATTCATATTTACCATTATAGGACACTTTCCTTTTGATCTGTTTATCCTTAACTGACATTATTGTGTAATTAACTGGAAAGTACCAACTGTGACATAACATCATGTAGCCTGTATTTTCCTTTAAGTAGAAACATATGCAAAATTCATACATTTGGTAATAACATGTTATGTATTCAGATATGTGTATATGAGCTGTACTGACTGCTCTTCCTTGTATAGGCTGAAATATATAGGGTGATAAATGGGTTCAGAACCTACTGGTATAAACTCTCAAATATTAAAGTGCACTGTTAATTCAAAATAATACCATTTATTTTATTGAATTCAAATATAGTATTTGGTAAAACTTCTATCAGTACAATATATTAAAATAATGCAGTGACAGGAAACCTCATGATTTGACCATTCTTCACAATTATGGACAACAGTGAAATCCTGAATTCTAATTATGACAGAAACTGCCAGATAAGTAAAACATATTGCATTGTTTAGTAATATCATTTGATTGAACCTTTGCCCGGTCTCTCTCTCCTCTGCCTCCACCAGGACCCCAGTAAAGAGTGCTTCAGCCTCAAGTTTGACCTGAACGTGGACATCAACACAGAGATCGTACCGGCCATGAAAAAGAAGACACTCAGGTGAGACATGGAGATGGATTCTCAACTCTATCCATGTTTACTTGCCAAAGAATTTTGTACTCTAGCTTATGTAGTACTCAGTATTTTGACATACCCTGGGAACTAGTGCTACAGTTTTCAACCAGAACCCAGCAGATACTATTTTATTTTTTTTTATTTTTTTTTTAAATGTCAAAGTGCATTATGTAACTTTTTGGTGGGAGTCTATCACCTGCTTGTTTCTATAGATATGTCATTGCTCTGCTTCAAATGTTCCACAGTATGACATTAAACACCTCTACTTATTTTTTAAAACTCAAAATACCTAGAAAAATAAGCATTCATACTGTGAGCGGGGTCACCTCTCCACAGATTTGATCTGTAACTTGGTCTGGTTTGGTCTCCAAGAAGACAGACAGGTTTAATACCATACTGTGAAACATTCCAAACAGACCCTCCACCAGAAAAGTTACACAATGCACCTTTTTTATCCATACTAAACAGTTTTTATTCTGGATATAAAATGATGAAATATTGTGTGTATTTTTTTTATCAGGGAGGTTCTGGGCCCAGTGTTTGAGAGAAATGGCATCGAGCTGTCCAGAGTGGACCTGTTTTTGGACCAGTCCAACACGCCTCTGTCTCTCAACTTTGAGGCCTACCGCTTCGGGGGACACTACCTGAAAGTGAAAGGTAAATGCTTTAAAATCCTTTCGCTGTCATGTCCTTAAATGTTACCAGATACGGATACTGTTACTGTTAAAGATGCACTGAGTAACTTTTTTGGGAGTTCGCTACCATGGAGATGTTATTACTTTGCCGGTAATGTTCCACAATATGATTTTAAACTTATATAAGATGCATTTATTCCATTATTTTGCTCAAAAGTACAGAAAAAACATGCATTCTTTCTGTGAGTGGGGTCGCCTCTCCACAGATCTCACCTGTAAATTGTCCCTTTGGTGTCTCCTTCTTGTTTTTATGGAGAAGTTTAATGCCACACTTTGGAATAATGGGGGTAAAGGACTAATATCTCCATGGAGACGAGTAATAGGTGGACCGTCTACCAGAAAAGGTGCAACTTTAAGTATGATTGATAACATTAAAGCTGCTCTGTGTAACTTTTCTGCAGGAGGTTAGACCTGCTTGTGACCATCCAAATTTAAAGGTTTAATGCTTGTACTGTGGAACATTTCAAGCAAAGCAATAACATCTCCATGGAGACGAGCAAATGGCAAACCCTCCACCAAAAAAGTTGCGTAGTTCCTCTTTAAGGATTTTTGGAACACTTTGAATTGTGGAAAGATTGAAGAACATTGCTTTTATTGTGCCAAAAATTAAGTTAGAAGTTTTTTTTTTATAATATATATAAAATTTCCTCCAAATCAGACCCAGATGAGCAGCTAATTCAAAAGTGATTGGTCTGAACTTGTTTGATATTTTCATTTTTAGAACCCCAGCTAGTGATTACATCTGAAGGTTTTTACCAGAACAAAAGCAAAACAAAATGAGTTTTTCTCTAAAAGTGTTTCATACATATCGATTCAATTATCTGTTAAGAAAATATTGACCAGAACCTTGATTTATTTTAAAACATTATTGCTAAAACCTGTTGTTTTAGTTATCGCCAAGACAAAATTCAAATGATGTTTTTGGCAGTTCATCAGACATTTGCCAAGTTGTTCCTGTAATATTTATCACAAAAGTTCTTAAATATCCAGGTTATAATATTACTTTTTTATTGAATCTGCTCTTTTGGCTGTGTTTTACTTTGTTTTTATTGAAGATAATGGATTTAACATCTCTCCAAAACACATATACACGACCAGTCAAAAGTTAAGGTGCTCTTTTTCCTTTATGTTTCTTCGTTATTTACATGATTATTTGATATTTTACAGTCATACAGAGATTCTCACTAAAGCCATCAAAGCTATGAATGGAAATATATGGAATGCAGCAAACAAAAAATTCTCATTGTAACTCCAAACTTTTTAAATTGCCACCCTTTGCTTTGAACCTTGATTTGAACTTTTAGCATTTCTTGACCCTGTCACGGAACATCTGTGAAGTTAAGACTATTTCAGGAGATTCTCAAGCTCAGAGAGAGAAGGCCGAGAGTTTGTAGTGCTGTCAACAAAGCAAAGGGTGGATACTTTGAGCATGTCTATCTCCATGTAGTAAAGCGGGCAACAGTGCCATATTACAGGTCAGATCTTTGTAGAGCTGACTCCCCTTACTGTAAGAATTCATAATTTTAAACAACTCAAACATGTAATTATGGAAGATCGTTTGTTTCATCAGATTTTGAATTTTAAATGCGACTGAATTTCTCATTTGGATTTTTTAACTCTGACAAAACATGTTTGAATCATTTTTATTATGAATGTTAGTTACTGAAATTATAAGTGTACCGGTACATTTTGAGAATGTTTAAGTTACTATATATATATATATATATTATATTATATATATTTATATTTATATTTATATTTTATATTATATATTTATATATATATTTATATATATATATATATAAATCACCTTTTAAATATTCACCACAAATATTTTCAAGCCCTCAAATTCAGTGTGTGAGATTCACAGTGTAAAAGTTCACAGCAAAGATTCAAGATGCCAAGGCCTAAGCAATCGATCCAAAGTGATCCGATGTAATTTAGTAACAAACAGGAAATGGTGTGGCCTCATCAAAACCTCATCTCTTTTATTTCTTAAGTGAGAACGGTCAATAGGAAACGGTCTCTGTCACACAGGATTGATTGCTTAGGTCTTGGCATCTTGGATCTTTGCTGCAAAATTTTTCACTGTGAATTTAACACTCTTGAAAATATATGTGCTATATTTAAAATGTGAAATTTTCATTTTGAATTTGAAATATATTGAAAAAGTATACTTAAAAGTACATGTAAAAGGATACTTAAGTATCCTTAAGTATATTAAAGTATACTTACTTATTTCAGTAACTATAATTCAGAATAAAAATAAGTCAAAAAGGTTTCTTCAGAGTTAAAAATCCAAAGTGAGAAATTCAGCAGTATTTAAAATTCAAAATCTAATGGAACAAATTATTTTCCATATGTAATTGAATGTATTTAAAACAGATTTAATGCTGTACTGTGGAACATTTCAGACAAAGCTATAACATCTCCATGGAGACGAGCAAATGGCAGACTCTCCACCAGAAAAGTTGCGTAGTGCATCTTTACATTTTTCTACAACACTGAATTGTGGAAAAATTGTAGAAACTTTAATTTGAATTTAAAAAAAAAAAAGTAGTTATTTCACTTTTTCCTTTACTATATAATTCCATATATTTTACTAAATATATTTGATGTCTTCTGAGTTTTATTCTTTTACCAGCAGAACAAAACGTGTCCAAACCTTTGACTGGTGTATGTGCTTTTCAGTTTGTCTTCTACCTGTTCAATTCATAACTTAAAAACAGAACTTAAGTGTCCAAAATTCATTTCAAAAGACCCTGAATACCGCATAGATTCCGTTTTTATTTTCTCATGGCTTAGTTTAACACTTCTTGTACTGTTTTATCTATGAGTGTGCAAAACGACAGGTGTTTCCTCTTGAGCCCTTCCACTGAAAAAGAGCAGAGATAATAGCTTATGTGGTCAGTCATTTACGGTGAACCCTCCTCTGACCACATCCCAAAAATGCCATCACATATTTTCACAACAGCTGCTTCAGTTCTGTGGAAATTCAAATGACTTTCTCTCATCGCCATGTTGTAGTTTCCGTTAAAGAAGAGAAGAGCGCGTTTGTTCCGTATAAGAGAGCCCCTGTGTGTGGCTGATTAGGATTCTATAGAAGGGGTTGTTGGACACTTGGATCTCTTCACGCTCTAAAGCTACAGGAAGTGAGGAGCAAAGAGACACTTCTCAATTGTTTAGTCAAGTGCTCTCATCAAAAGAGGCTGTCGCTATAAATTTGGGTGAAAGTGACTTAATGCTGGGGCCTGCCAAAACACGGTGTTCATATAAAGCAATGAGCATTTGTTGGTACATTTCACTCATTGCCACTGCTGCTCCGAGAGGGCCCAACTAATCCGTGTATCATTAGTTTATTTGGTTTTCAAAATAAAATCAAAAATAATAAAATGAACAAACTATTTTCTTCATTATTTCTCTCCAAAACCAAAACAAATGGATAACGATTTATTTTTTCAGTTTTCGATTTTGTGTTTAAATGAATAATCGAAAAAACAGATAACGGATAATTTTCCGTTTCTGTGACTTAAACTGCGATGCCGGACTTTTGCGCCGCATACGGACTGAACCAGGACTGAACCAGGTCTAAACCAGGTCTAAACCAACCAGGACTGAACCAGGTCTAAACCAGGTCTAAACCAACCAGAACTGAACCAGGAGTAAACCAGGACTAAACCGGTCTCAGTCCTGGTCTCAGTCATAGTCTCAGTCTTCGTCTAGTCCTGGTATGGGCCCAGTCTTAGTCTGGTCCTGATCTCACTCTTGATCACCTGACAGTCACCTCCTGGCCTATCCCGACACTCAGTCCTGTTTTAGTCCTGTTTTAGTCCGGGATTAGTCCTGGTTTAGTCCTGGTTCAGTCCGTATGCAGTGCAAAAGTCCATCAGCGCAGTTTAAGTCATGGAAACGGGAAATGGCTGTTGTCCGTTTTTTCCATTCTTCATTTAAACACAAAATCAAAAATTGATTTCAAATAACACTAATCAAAAACATCATCATGCCTATTTCAATTTTGATATTTTATTCTCTTTGGTTTATGCCCCAGAAGTTCTGCTGCTTGAAAGACAAAAAAAAAAAAAAATCATTGTAATTGTTTGGACAAACATGTCCTCTTATTTTAGAATGTCGCGTTTACTTTCACATCTTAGAAAGTCATTGTTGAACTCCATGACAAGAAACAGGTAGCAGCGATAAACTCTCCTTTGTTCAGTTGACACTGAATTCACATGCGGGGTACTAAGCTTTTTCTTTGTTTTTAAATGTTTTGACAAAAAAGCCTTTGTCAGATAATTTTTCTTGCTTTGGAGCACAGTATAACTGTGAGCATGCGATGCGTTTTGTCATGTTTATATTGCTGTTCTTTGCATTTGCACCTCTACAAGAACTTTAGTGTGTGTTTTCTGTTTCATTTCATCATATAATAATTGATCTAAGTTATCAAAGTACCAAAATAGAAATAACAAAGCAAAGGTGTCCTGACTCATATAAAAGCCACACTCTCCAACCTGTTTTTGTTGTTGTTCCCTCTAGCGCGCCCCGGTGACGAGCTGAAGGTGGAGCAGGGGGTGAAGGACTTGCGTTCTCTCAGTTTACCCAACATGAAGGCGTCCGGCGCTCAGAGCCAGTTCATCCTCACGCCCGGAGCGGAGAGGGAGAGGGCGGAGCACGGCTCACTGGGCAGGAAGGAGGGCATCGACCTGCTGGTGAGTACAACACCTCTGCTCATCTGTCTAAAGCAGGGGTGTCCAAAATATGTCCCGGGGACCAAAAGCGGCCCGCAGGACAACTTTTCTTGGCCCTCAGGCTTTCTGTTGCAGTGGACCTTTTTTACTGCTAGTTTTAAATCTTCCACCAGTATTACTTAAATGACTAACCATGTTGAAGGCTCTGAATTAAGTTATGGTAACGCTTGAAAACCTCAGATAAAAGCTACTTTTTTAACGATTCACAGTATTGACCACCAGTCTCTACGTGGTCTGTTTCAGGATGTGACCTTCTATGAGAAAAGCTTGGGACCCGATTTTATGTCGTGTATTTAAGTTATATAGAAAAATAAGACACAATCTATATAACTTTTCTGGTATGGGTGCGGCTCCTTCTTGTCTCCTTGGCGATGTTATTGCTTTGCCTGGATTATCCTCCGTTATGACAGTAAACTCTATCTAGCCTGGATTTATTCAATTACATGCATTTTATTGCTAAAACATACCGGAAAAACTTGCTTTCATACAATGACCTTGGCCCCCCTATGCACAGATCTGATATGTAACTGACCTTGTGGCGTCACCTGATTGTTTGCATGGGGCTAGATACATTTTAAAGAACACATACAATGCTAAACCAACTTTTTCAGCTTTTTGATAGTGTTTTCTGGGTATATAAGGTCTGTATTGACGCAAAAAAAGATCAGTTTAAGCCATAAAGTTCTTGCAAAGATATCTTTATATTTTTAGACACCTTTTTTGGACTTTGAATTCCGGTCTAAATAGATATACAATGTTCATTTACTTCTATCTGTTACGTCATTGAATTTCAGAGGAAATCTCCATAAAATCTCCGCTGAGAACTACTGTATTTTCTGCACTATAGGGCACTCTGGATTATTAGGTGCACTGTCACTAAATGGTCTATTTTCAAACTTTTTTCACATATAAACCGCACCAGACTAAAAGGCACATTAAATGAAACTCAACAGTTAGATAAGTCAGTCAAATTTTATTTAATGCTTTCACAGTAACTCTCAACTTTGTTCACTTGTAACGCATAAAAAAATCACTGTCTGAGATGCTAAATTGTTAGTATATTCACAATAAGTCATAATTGTTAAAACAGTTGGGTGATTACGGCGTCCAGCATGCCCACATCCCTCTCGTCATTATCCGAGTCAGTGTGGTTACTGTTACCTGGCAGTTCAGTGATGATTCTGGTCTTGGTGAAAGCTCGGACCACAGTTGATACTGATCTTTAGCCCGGGCGTCCACGATCCGTTGGCAGATCGTGGCGTAAGTCGCTTGGTGCTGTCTCTCTGTCTTGGTGAATTTGTGTTCCCCTTCTCTCATCCACTGCTTCCACGCAGCTCGCACTTTCACTTTATAACATCCTTGAGTTTAAAGTCGGCATTGTAAGCGTGTCTCTTGACAGGTGCATTTTGATATTAAAAGGAATCACAGTATGTATTACTCCGCGATGCTCCTGAATACCATAATGCTGCAAGTGGTGCAGCTTTATAGTTTACTAAAGTCGTACGAAGACACCCCAATAAATTCATATATAAGGCGCTCTGGATTATAAGGTGCGCGGCCATTTTTAGATGAAATTAAAGGCTTTTAAGTGCGCCCTATAGTGCGGAAAACTTGTACTTGGATTACTTTTATTTTTCTGGGGAAATGTGCCTAGGAATGTGCCCAAGATGCTTTTTGTATGTGCTAACTTCACGGAGGAACACTTCACAAACCTGGATTTGCTGAAGGATGCCATTTAAAGCTACACTATAAACATACCAGGCAATGCAATCACATCACCATGGAGACGAAGAGGTGGCGACGTGGCGGACTCTCTATCTATAACGTACCTTTAAAATCCCTATTGGCCTATAATATCCCTGTGAACTGAGGCTCTTATTGCTATCTCCGCTTTCTCAATGTAACCTAAACATAGACACGCCCGACCTCGAACCTCTCCTCATGTCCCATAATGCCTCGGGACGACACCATCCGATCTGTTACCTCAATCCGTCTGTCACTGTAGGAATATTTTTCTGGTTGCTAAATGCCGCTCCAGAGTTATTCCAAAACAGGATACGGCAATTTTCTGGTACATTTGCTTTGTATATTCCTGGCCGAGCTTGTTGTTGAACTTGGAATAACTTGGGTTCAGCTGCTGGTGGTGCTTCGAGGTTAAAGTCTTAATCCACTAACCACAACATCAGTCATGTAATTTTATATTTTTCATGATGGTAAAAATGAATAGACTTTTGTATTGGATTTGTGTTTGGGTTAAACGTCCTATATTACAGAAAATTGACTCGTGAACTTTTCGCCATGTTATAATGTTACCTCCTCAGAATCACACCGGGAGTTGTTTTGTTTCATTCACACGTGTTTGAGTAACCTTTTATTATTAGACTGGAACATAGTGTTTTCAGTTTGAGAGAGGAACTCGGCTTAAATAGGCAGGGTTTGTGTGTTCAACTTGTGTGAATGAAACAAAACACAAGAAAGAAGTGCAATATAGACGCTTAGTTTTTTGCTCTTTTTAATAATACGACTTCATTTGATTCTGTAGTTTTAACTGCTAATCCTGAACAAACAAGTTCTGATTCATAGAGATACATAAAGATGTTTTGAGAGCTTTTACCCTGCCCTCTTTTTAGTTGACCAATAAGCTTTTAATAGTATTTGATTTCTGATTATCTTTTGACAATCATAGCCAATAGGGATGTAACGATATCCAAATCTCACGATATGCTTCTCACGGTATGATATTTATTGCAATATTTTGAAGAGGCTGATATAGTTGTAGATAAGACACTTTTTTTGCTTTTAAAATACCTTGACAAGATTTTGGTGTGAATTATTACTAGGGATGTAACAATAACTGAAATATTGTGATATCGTATCGTCAAAGTTCTCGCAATAATATCGTGGATCATCACAATATATCGAATTACAAATCTCTTTGCTTAAGTTAAGCGTAATGGTGCAGCAATAACTAGGGAACTACATAGACCATGATCTTTTGCTCCATTTCAGTGTAGACTGTAAGAAGAAATAACAGTTCTAAGCACTTACTTTTAAGACTTAGTTCTTTGGATTAAGTCTTGTCAAGGAATTTTAAGAGGAAAAAGTAGCATATTAACAGCTTTAGCTGTTTAGCCTCCACAAAATATCACAATAATATTGTACCGTGAGATGTATATTGTGAAAATACCGTACAGAGAGATTTGGATATTGTTACATCTCTAATCGTGAGCCTCCCCACCATATCGTGAGTTTTCCTACGATATTGCAATAAATATCATACAGGGAAGTTCATACCGTGACGATGTCAGATCGTGAGACTTGGATATCGTTACACGCCTAATTATTACCGTCATAATGTCAACAATTCAAGAAAAAACATATCTCTTCATGTTGTCTACACTGAAATGAATCATAGTATATGTAGTTCTCTATATTTATAAGCTGTTGCTACAGTAAAACCATGCATTTAAGCAAAGAAACTTGTGATTCGATATATTGTGACAGTCCACGATATTATTGACTTTTGACGATACCACGATATCATGATTTTTGTTTGGTTATTGTTACATCCCTACTAGCCAGCCCTATTTTTGTCCAAGCCAAATGTAAACAGTCTCATGAGATCATTTTCCTGATGTTTCACAATCTTGTAGCAGTTTTACCTTGTAAGAGTTTATGTCAGGAGATCCTGTAGTCTCGTCCCCTCGTAGCCACAGCTGCTCGGACCTGTGTAATGGTGCATAATGTGGTGATGTCATGTGAGAGCAGCCAGTAGCTTTGACACACACACATATAAGCGTCAGTGTGGTGTCACTGTGAGAAGAACTCACCAAAACTATCTGATTGACTCAGGAGACTGTCACTGCTCTCTCTGTCTGTCTGTGTGGATCATACAGGACTCATACAGATGTGCTTCCATACACTCTCTGTATAAGGTACTGATACTTTACAGTGACATCACATTGGGGGTGTTCTACATGTTTGCCTATGGTGGAATGTTTATCAGTTGCTATGGTGACACAGTGCACACATGAGCAAACATTTATGAAAAGGTAAAAGATAGTGCTGTAACTGCTGAAAGCTTGTAACTGTAATGTTCCCTGCTTTTTGAACAGCACAAATCAGCTCACCTGCTCTTCTTCCAGCTAGTTCCACCTTCTTGGTTCTGGATCCACATTAATTATTACCTCAGTGATAACTATTCTTCCTGGACTCCACAATTATTTTGGTCCTTATACAAAATGAATTTGTTTTTATTTATTTATTTGGATCCCCATTAACTTCCACCTTCCTGAGGTCCAGGGGTCTCCAATGTGTAGCTCGGGAGCTCCCAGTAGCTCTCCACCCGCTTCCAAGCAGCTCACCAAAAGGATTTCTTAATTCTATGTGTTGTGGATAATAAGTAAAATATGATTAATTACTGATTAATTAACTAATTGTAAATATATCATTTTATCAGTAATAAATGGATAATGGTTTATGTTTCATAAGCATCTACCTCTTCCCCCATCGAAGGCTTGCTATGGCTCTTATATTTACTCAGTTTCTTTGTGAGTGCTGAAGTTGGAAGCTCTCGAGCATGTTTGTTTCGTAAAGGGTAAAAAAAAAAAAAAGGTTAGAGACCCCTGTACTATAACATTAACACAAATAACAAATACAATTCATGCGTATTCATAACAGCATTGAAATCACTCCAGTCCTCCTCCATACAGTTAATTTAAACATTTTACAAGTCTTTTTAAAAGAACATCAATTACTTATTTGCCGTGTACTCCCAGACAGCTGGAGTGAAGAGTGAAGAACAACACTTTTGAGATGACTAGTACTATAGCCAGCTGGCCTGTGGTGTATGTCATCATAGTTTTCATCAAAGTTATATTTTTTATTAATAGTCTCAATAAAAGACTTTTCCTTAAAAAATGAACTAAAAACAAATAGTAAAGACTAGAACCAAGCGCCAA